AAAATTTCCACCATGACTCATAAGCCAATCTCAGGCTTGAAACTTGAAATTCTACAAATTTCAAATTAAAGTGTTGGTGCACAAACATGAAAAAAACCAAGTGGCTTGACAAGTGCATGCAATGGCCAAGCATTTGGGAATCAATTTAAAAAACAAAAAAAAACACCATGGCTCCAAGGTCTTGTCAAAAAATGCATTGTTTTTTTACATGCTAAGTACTTAGCAAATGTTGCTAACTACAGCCTTAACATTTTATATAACTAGTGCTAACCAGTTAACTCAGGAGCCATAAGTATAGTTAACCTTTTATAAACTATGTAGGACTTAGCCTTCAGGAAGGCTAACCTTTACCAAAGTTACAACAATTATACTTATGTTATACCATACTTATACCATACTTATACCATACTTATAAACATACTTATACCCAATACTAACTTAAGCAAACCGCCGGTTCATCCCAGTGTGTGTAAAAGCTTTTGTGTGTAAAAGCGTCTGTGTGTAAAAGCGTTTGTGTGTAAAGGCTTTTGTGTGTCAAAGCGTCTGTGTTGTGTAAAAAGTATCTGCGTGTAAAAGCGTCTGTGTGTAAAAGCGTCTGTGTGTAAACGCGTCTGTGTGTAAAAGCGTTTGTGTGTGAAAGTGTGTGTGCGTGTGTAAAATGCATCTGCGTGTAAAAGCGTCTGCGTGTAAAAGCGTCCGTGTGTAAGACCGTCTGTGTGTAAAAGCTTTTGTGTGTAAAGGCGTCTGTGTGTAAAAGCGTCTGTGTGTAAAAGCGTTTGTGTGTAAAGGCTTTTGTGTGTCAAAGCGTCTGTGTGTCAAAGTGTGTTTGTGTAAAAGCACCATGTGTAAAAGCGTTTGTGGGTAAAAGCTTTTGTGTGTAGTTTTACCGCACGACATGGAACTGTCAGAGATTGAGGGTGAAAATGCTTGCTAGTGCATCCGTGCTAGGACGTGTGGAGCTCGGTTCGTTTGGTGCGTTGTGTGGGAAATTGTATATTAAAATGGAATAGCATGTGTTCTCAGTTTCGAAGGTGCCCATGCCCACTGTCAAACTTACGAATTGTGCTCTCAGTTTCGAAGTAGGAGAACAAATTCTCTGCATTGGATTTTCGAGTGCGTAGCTCACAGCATCATGGTACCGAGTTTTGGCACGGAGTGAACATCAGATTCTTATATGCACGTGCATTGTGCACGGAGTGAACATCAGATTCTTATATGCACGCTGAATGTTCGTGAAACAAGTGACGATTGGCAAACGGGTATCTGCAACATTTGTTGCACTTCTCGAGGTTTCTGTAGGGGCTGTCCGTGAGATCTCGAGAATTGTATAGTGATCATGTCAGCGTTTGTTTGCAATGCAGTGGATTTATGTGATACATGGCACAAAAAAAAAACAAGGTTCATAGTAAGCTTCACTGTTCAGTTTGCATGTCTATGCGACAATGATGTTCGCATGTCAAACGCAGGAGTCGTGGTCTCAGGCTTCGAAGAACAAATTCTTGGCATTGAATTGTGCAAGTGTGTAGCAGGTTAGTGCATGAAGTTGTAGAAGTTACCAAGCTGTTGGGTTCGTTGTACCTTTGTGGATGTTTCCTTCGAGAACGGTGTGATGCATTTATTTTACAGCATTTGGCAATTTGTGTGGGAAATTGTATATTAAAATGCAATGCAACAGCAATACAACTGCTTTCGATGGTGCGCGCTACACCAAGGTTGAGACCACACAACGATGCTGTTGTTTGGACGAGTGTCGCTCAATGACAGAGTATGGTCCTGAACTCAAACTCTTTGTTTTGAAATCAAGCATGTCATGGCATTGTTTTGTTTTGAAATCAAGCATGTCATGGCATTGTTTTGAAATCAAGCGAACAGATATGCATGTCTCGGAATTTATGAATGCAAAATGTTTGGTTCAAGTCACGCACCCGTGACGTTTGTGGACATTTTGTGGTCGCTGTTTCATTTGCTGAAGGGAATGTCCGTGCGAATGGAGCATGCGACCGCGTCGTCCGCGTCGTCCGATGCCGTGGAAATTCGGTTGCAGGATCTGCGTAGCAGTGCTGTGACCAGGGGTCGTGAATGGCTCCAGGATGCCCTGGCAGAAATTTCTGTCATGGAGCTTCGCAAAATGGCACGTGCTCGGAATGTTGGCCGTGGACCGGACAAGAAGTGGCCTGCGGTTGGAGAGCTGCGCGCTCG